CCAGCGTTGCAGTCGGGAAGAAAAGCATTGTGGAGCGGCACCTCACCACTTCATAAGGAGTTTGACCGTGGTTTTCCTTCTGGCAGAATCTACACAACACATCCGCCCCATTGAACAGAGCCTAGTCATGCCAGCCTATACAACACATGATGAGGGGCAGAGTTGTACTGTGTGTGTGTGTTGCAACTTGCATATATATTTCTTGCACTTGACGCACACACACGCATGAGGTAATTTCTACTGGGGGAAAAATGTTTATTATTATTTATTTTTTTAACGCAAGCCACCCTCGCCACGGAGGAGCACACAGCCTCTGTGAGCGAGCGAGACAGAGAGAGCTAGAGCGAGAGAGCGCACCAGTTACGGGGATTGTTGTTGTTAGCATCTGTTGCTAGCTCAGAGCTAACGGATATTAGAAGCTTTTTTTACAACAAGGAGAGGGAGAGCTCTCCTGTCAGACTGAGAGGCGGATAACTACATCTCAGGTGATGTAAGGGACTCTGAGTGTTTGGATATTAACTTTAGTCTAAGTTATCTAAGTGGTTCTCAAATTATTTGGTCATCTATGTAAACAAATATTTCCAATGCACACCTTTATCTATTTAATATAGTTGTACAAAATAAAATAAGAAATCATTCCAATGTGTAGTATAGGACAATACAAAAAAAAGATACAGTTTAAAAGGAGAGTGATTAGTGAAATAGAAACGATGCTAACTAGGTAACATAAGATAAGATAAGATAAAAGAGAGGAGTTTATAAAATAAACAAGTTTAAATGATTTGTTATTGGTTGTGATCATATTTTAAAGAATTTTGGATTATTGAAATGTATACAGCTCTCTTTCATATGAGTGTTAAGAGCTGTATCCATGAATTCATTTTTTGCTCAAAGTGCACCAGATTGAAGCATTTAACTTCAACATTTAATTTTTTTTAAAAACGGGTCCCACAGACCCAAACAGCACACAAAGGTTAAAGGCAGTGGTGTAGTGGGGATCTTTTTACTGGGGGGACGCTATTTTAATTAGATCATCCCAAACAATGCCACACAAGTGCGCACGCGTGCACTCACAAAACGGGCAAACAGGTCCACAGAAACTACCGGTATGCTTAGTCCTACTTTAGTTACTGTACTGCAAAAAGCAGACGGCGCTGCGCTCAACACACACACAGACTCAAAACCATGGACACACTGGCACATAAATTACATAAACAATGTATAGGCCTAAATTGCATAAACTACAGTATTGCTAACTAAGCAGACAGCGCTGCTTCTCTCTCTCTCTCTCTATCTCCACTTTCAAAATCTATTTAAAACTCATAACAAACAAACAAAATTCCCAAAGTTGTCCTGAAATTAACTTATTAAATAAACAAAACGAAAAATATAGCCTACTTATGCACAACATTTAATCTGGACTTGAAATTATTCTGATTAGGCCTAGCCTACATTGCAAATAAGCAGACAGCGCTGCTTTACACACACACACACACACCACACACACACACACACACACACACACACACACACACACACACACACACACACACACCATGTATACATCACTTCAGGGGACATTACATTGACTTTCATGCATTTCCTGGAGACTTATCCTAACCTTAACCATAACCAACACATGCCTAACCCTAACCCTTAACCCTAACCCTTAACCTAACCAAGTCTTCACCCTAAAATTAATGATTCCCCTCATGGGGACCTCCATTTTGTCCCCATAAGGGAGGCGAGTCCCCAAACGTGACTGTAAACAGATTTAGGTCCCCACAAGTATAGTAATGCTAGGCCACACACGCACGCACGCACACACACACACACACACACACACACCCACACACACACACACACACACACACACACACCACACACCACACACACACACACACACACACACACACACACACACACACACACACACCTTGGGTTTTGAAGACTGATAAATCCGAAATGGATGAACAAACTTGGCAGCCCAGTTTCCCAGCTTTGCAGTCTATCCACGGCCTCTTGTTTCCTCCGCCACATCTCCTCCGTCCATACCTCTGGGAAAGGTGAGCTTGAGCTAGCTCGGGGAATGTTGCTAGTGTATGGGCATAGCTATGTCTCATAATTATTTGTGTGAACATAAAAATAATTTGTGTGTAAATATGTGATTTGTAAATGTAAAACACCATCCACAAATGCATTTAAAAGATTTGCAAACTCACAAATAAATGTGTAAGTGTAAATATTTTCACAAATAAAAAAAAGATCTGTGATTATCTCTTTAACATTGACAACTTTCGATCAGGCATTTGTGAATCCATTTTGTATTTGCCGACCAAAAATACGCTTGCGGATCTCAAATCTCTGCTCGTGGATCTCACATTTCTGCTTGTGGATCGTCTTTTTACACACGGAATTTTGAGACATATTTTCCGCCGGTCTCTTCTAAAATCTACTCGTGTCACTCGGTGATTTTCGGAAACCACGTGATGGCCTGCTGATGACGACATTTCCGCATGATTTCAAAGTAAGAGCATGATGGTTTGTTTAATGCTCTGTTTTTATATTATAATGAACAGCGGAACGTTAGATGCATTCTTTATCACCATCATCATCATCATCATCATGTTATAGTGATACAGTTAGTTTGTGTTAGTTTATTGGATCAATATAGCATATATCGAGCACATGCATTGATGTTGAAGTACAGGCTATAGCCTACGCCACTTTCGGGTCCAGGGGGAGCAGCTGGCAGCGAAGCAGCCCAGAGATAACTCTTTCTTCATTGTTTGTTGTGTATTCAGTCAAGCGGGTCAAAGTACAAAGCACTTCACATCTTATTAATCGGCCTAATTTTACCTTACCATTGCAGTAATAAAGTAATCTGTAGAAAAGCACCGTATTTAGGTCAGCCTTCATAGTAAGGCTACATTAAATGTTATAATATTCATCGTGTCCTTTCTACTATATATGCATATATTACTGTCTATTGCTTTCATTTGTATTTAATGTTATTGTGTTTATACTTGTTTCCACACATTTCACAATTTGGGATGAATGAAGTATCTATATATGATATCCATCTATCTATCTGTCCGTCTATCTACAGTATCTATCTATCTATCTATCTATCTATCTATCTATCTATCTATCTATCTATCTATCTATCTATCTATCTATCTATCTATCTATCTATCTATCTATCTATCTATCTATCTATCTATCTGTCTGTCTGTCTGTCTGTCTGTCTGTCTATCTGTCTGTCTGTCTGTCTATCTACCTATCCATCTATCTACCTGTCTATCTGTCTGTCTGCCTGTCTGCCTACCTACCTACCTATACCTGCCTGCCTACCTACCTACTAGTTGTTTTGTTTGGAAAGGTTTTGTCATTGTATTGCTCTTTACCGGCACCTGCAGAGTACAGGACTTTACATTGTACTTACAATTTTACATTGTAACTTTGACCCGCTTGACTGAATACCCTGAATACACAACAAACAATGAAGACATAGTTTTATCTGGGCTGCTTCGCTGCCAGCTGCTCCCCCCGGGACCCGAAAGTGGCGTATAGCCTGTACTTCTTCAACATCAACGAAAGTGCTCGATATATGCTGTATTGAACCAATAAACTAACTGTATCACTATAACATGATGATGATGGTGATGGTGATAAAGAATGCATCTAACGTTCCGCTGTTCATTATAATAAAAAAACAGAGCATTAAACAAACCATCATGCTCTTACTTTGAAATCATGCGGAAATGTCGTCATCAGCAGGCCATCATGTGGTTTCCGAAAATAACCGAGTGACACGAGTAGATTTTAGCCGAGACCGGCGGAAAATATGTCTCAAAATTCTGTGTGTGTAAAAAGACGATCCACAAGCAGAAATGTGAGATCCGCGAGCAGAGATTTGAGATCCGCAAGCGCATTTTTGGTCGGCAAATACAAAATGGATTCACAAATGCCTGATCGAAAGTTGTAAATGTTAAAGAGATATTCACAGATCTTTTTTTTATTTGTGAAAATATTTTGCGTATTTGCAGATCCGTTTTACACTTGCACATTTATTTGTGAGTTTGCAAATCTTTTAAATGCATTTGTGGATGGTGTTTTACATTTACAAATCACATATTTACACACAAATAATTGTTATGTTCACACAAATAATTACGAGACATATCTATGCCCATACTAGCGCAGCTAACGTTAACGTTAGTGCTAGCATTATCCTCTTCTGATGATGTAGTACTAGTAGTAGCTTCACTTGTAGCTTCGGTGCTGCTAGCCTCTTTCTTCTTGTGAATTATATTCTTTTTAGAAAAGAAGTCAAGTAAAACATGTTAGCCTGCCATTATAGAGCTTTTTCATTAGCATTCTTGAGGGAAAGAGCTGCCGCAAAATCGGCGGGCGGCGAGCTGGCTCGCCGTGGGTGTGTCAGTGACACACCCCCAGCTCGCCGCGGGATCACGAATCATAATTTTTTAAGGAAATCGTTTTTATTTTTTATTATAATTACTGTGAAATGTATTATGTTTTTGTCATTGTTACAACAAATACACACTTGCAACTGATAACACTGGCAATAATTTTATATTTGACTATTAAAAAAAGATCATGCTCCAAATAAGTGGGGGTACGGTGTACCCCCGCGTCCAACGCCCACTACACCACTGGTTAAAGGTAAGCATATAATAATGTTAAAATGTGCTAAATATATACACTGCAAAAACAAAAAACAAAACAAAAAAAAGAGGAGTAAAAGTAGCTCACGACTTGTTTTATTTTTTTAAAGTAGCTCTCATCCTAAAAAAGGTTGGAGACCCCTGAACCAGAGACTTAGTGAACTAATGAACTAGTTGAAGAAAGCACATACAACTAGTCAACTAGTAAAGTCAAAATAAACTCCTACTATTTACGTGAGTATTTTGGTATACACTAGCTAAAAGCACTGTAGGAAACTGCCGGCTTCTGTTGAGCTCTTCCAAAACACTCACCGCTGGTCTCAGCCACACCACTCGCTTCAGGTCAGAAGGCTTCAGTATCCCTTCGCCAATAGATTTCCGGTCGGGGGGGAAGATGTCGTCGATGTACCGCACTCCTCGAATGTTGCAATACTGTTCCAGCTGCTGGTAGTCTTGGTTTAAAAACCTCTCAGGGTTGGCAAAGCAACCATAACCGTCCTGCCTTTGACGGGCCTCCATAATGTTCAGACACACACCGGGGGGAGGCATCGCTGCAGTGTTCAGGCTTTGGTGAGGAAAATGGGAAGCAGAATCATTTTGACATGCAATCATTTTGTATACGCATTTAAGAGATGGGAAAGAGGTTTAAGAAAAAACAGCATCGGGTGAAATGAATTGACCATACTGATCTCAGCTTTCTCATTTGCTGTCTAACATCTTCCACATTCATTCAGTCAGGTTGAGATTAACACCCAAACAAATGTTTCGAAGAATCACATTTACATACTCAGAGGTCAAAATGAGTAAAAATGTTATCACATTGCAAGTACTGTGAATTACATGTATGCTTAGAACAGGAATAACAAGTAATGTAATGTGACATTTAAAAAACTAATTATAAAAAGGGATACGATAATAGGAATGTTTCTAAAAATGCATTAAAATAAAAAGTCAATTCTGGACGAAGTGGCATGTTAACATCACGATGAATGACAACTGCAAATTAAAACACGTTTTTACACACCTTAAAACTATAAAACAGAAGACAAATGGTGTGACATTCTATCAAATGTACAATTAATAAGCAAATAATAGGCCTATAAGGTTTGCCTTATTTGTAAATACCAGTATTTTAAAATCTGTATTTTAGAGTAAATATGATTTGCAGTTAAGTTAGTTCCCCATATAGAAACATTGCATTACATTTCTTTCTCTACTTTTTATTTTATTTGTCACACATCTGTATCAGTGTCACACTTACCCTTGAGCATATCACATTTAATTAAATAATACAAATGTTGTGTAATGTATGAAGCACATTACACTGGTAGTACTAGTTTTAGAATTATATATCCAGGAGGTCACTAAACATCCTCATAATATATCACTGCACAGTATAGTGCAGCACTATTTCTCAACGTTGTCACAGTCCTAAGATTTGAAATAGAACATTTTAACATGCCTGATTTCCTGCACCAAAATGCATTGCTCTATATGGCTATATCATTGGCATTCGAACATCTTACCTCAAAGGCAGGAGAGAGGAAGTGGATCTGCAGGTCAAAGCCGGAGAGGTTTTGTCTCCTTTAAAACAGCCTGTGAACACCTGATGCTATCCGAGCTGGCAAGCTTTGATTTTCTTGAAACTGCAGAAGCTAATATACATATCGTGAAACCTGACCTTATCTCCATAGCGGACCTTTACAGTGGTTGTCAATGATTAGCAAAAATAATACAGCGTCACTGTCACAGTCTGCTCCATCATTCACCAGTAGTTTTCCATTCACCTGTCTCACCTGTTAACCACACACACGTTTTTGCTCACTCTCTTTCTCTAGCCCTAGACTTTTGGGGGCCCTAAGCGAGCTTTGGCTTGGGGGCCCCCCTCACTCTAGCGCGTTCTCACTACACACAACACGGAACCAACTTTTGTCTTATGATGTTAGAATAGGCACACATATTGTATAAATGAGCATGTAAACACCATGGATATAACCTCGAGGGGGGTCCGGGGGCATGCTCCCCCGGGAATATTTGTTTTTAAATATTGAAGTTAAAAGTATCAATCTGGTGCACTTTGAGAAAAAAATTAAGAGATCTATGGATACATCTCTCAACACCCATATGAAACAGAACTGTAAGCAGATTTTTCTTTATGGATATTTTACAAATCACTTAAACTGTATTCTTGTTTTGTCATATAGTATTTCATAACTATTTTTCATTTATTCTCTCTGGTAGTCCATCTCATAATGTTAGAATAGAAACTAGCTGTCAATAGGAATATCATTCAGAATAATTATAATTTCTTGCAAAAATCTGTCACAAAAAGCGGTTTAAATTCAGGTGTTGTTATGGCAACGTCAGTGGCCAATCGGCCACATTTACTGCTGCAAATACGTTCAAACCATAGACTGTATATATAAATGGACGTAGGGTCCGTGAAGTCACCCATAGGATTCTGCAGAGTTGCCGAGAAGCCCTTAGTAGGCGGAGTCGGCCACTAATGGCTCGACAGTGACGTCAGAGTTCAACTCCCGCCTGTTCCAGCCTGCTCCAAATAAGGGCAAAGAGGCGGAGCCAAGGCGGGACCTGCTGCCACCGAGCTGGAAGTTCCAGAGCTAGCTGAAGCTACCAAGCTAAGCTAAATCATGCTCTGCACACTTCCGTCGCATTTTACGTTTCTAAGGTAAGCGGACATGAAACTATTCAGCAAAACTATAAATAATAATCTAAGTTATTGAGTTTTTAGCATAATACTTCAGAATCTTAAAACCCCTTAACGTTTGTATGCAATTGTGCTAAATTCAACACTGGAATCAAGCAAATATTAATATGTTTGCATGACATTAGTTATTTATATTTTGATATCACTTAATTACACGTTTAATACATTTAAGTCAAGCTAAGGTACATGTGATGGTAGCTAGTTAGTGCTCTTACCTGTGAGGCCTCCTCCAAACAGCATAATAACCAGACTGTATCATTAAAACTAAGTACCAGTTCTAGATCCTTGACTTTAGACAAACAATTCAAAAGACAAAATGTATTTAAAGACCAATCTTTATTTGAATGTGCCTCTTAACCTGAGATATTAGTTATACAGTAATAGTATTGACAATCTAAAAAAACTGAAAACTCAACAGTCAACTTTATGTTTCTTATTGTCCAAAGCATTTATTATTTTCATTTATCCCCTCTCATATTCAGTGTGGACGGATTGAGACAGCGTGGTGTCCAGAGAGCTGCAGAGACTTCAGGGAGAAACCTCCGTGTGATGGACGTCCTGTCTGTTGGTTTGGAGAGGACTGAGGGTCTTTCCTCTGCGAGGAGGACCAGGCCTGATGGAGGAGCCCATGCTGGGCATAGCTGATACCAACTGCACAGGCCTAGTCTGTCACTTTATTTGACTAAATGTGTTTACTTATACATTTCATAGGTTTACACCTTCTGTCCATATGTGCTTTTTATTTAAAACATGTTTGATTAAGTTTTGGTTCACATTTCAATAAATTGTATTTGTATTTGCACTCCTTTTGTCCATTATTCTTACTGAAAATGTTAGATTACACATTCACATCTGACTGAAGATTGGCCCGATTTATTTGTGACATTGCAAACTCTGCGGTACAAGGCACAGGTGATGTGAAGCTCATAAAGTGAGGCAAATAGAAATAATCAGCTGATGGAGTGTAGATGTGGAAATAGTGTGACGACCCCTCCACACCGCGTGGGGTGCCGTCTGGTTGTGTGTGTGTTTTGTGTGTGATTGCAGGTTCCAGCTACAGCTGTTTGATGAGGCGCACCTGCCGGATGAGCTACACCTGTTGAAACAGGATATAGGAGGAGCCCAGCCGGTTACGTTTCTCTCACTCCTCTGGGCACTCTCTCTGCGCCAGCTTCGGGGACCTGATGCTGGTGTTTTAGTTTGTGGTGTTTAAACTAATAAACTATATTATTCTTACCTCTCGTCTCGCCTCCCTGCTTTATGTTACAGCCCACGAGCCGGGTTGTAACAATAGGTGCATTTCATCAGCTGACTGTGTTTTCACAATAAAAGTAGTTTCTTAGTGAATGTCCTGTACTGGTCTTAAAATCTCATAACATCAGCTTTTAGTGTTCCTCTTGGATGTTCTTCTTGACCCTCAGAGAAGGAGAAAATGTCCTGTCTTTCAGGCATGTCCTTTCCTAACAAAAATGATAGGAAACATAAAACATATTATTGCAGAACAAGTGTGTTATTTATGAAAGTGGTGTGTTTGTGTGTTTAGGGGCTGTAGATATAATTATTTTGTAATTGTAATGATTTTTTTTTATTTCAACAGTGAGCTACAAAGACGATCAGATTATGAATGAACAGTATGAAGCTCATCAACATTGAAATATTTCAAATGTTATTATCAAAATAATATTTAACTGTTATCAAAACGTAGTGCAACTGTAGAAGCTTGCTCTGTTTCACTGAAAGAATAACTTTTACCACGTTTTTTCAGACAATATTGAGAGATAAATAGTAGCAGTTCTCACTATGTGTTAAATATCTTTGCCTTCAATACATTAAATTAGAAAGCTGAAAAAAACATATTTCTATAGCCTTTATTTATACAGGTGTAGATCTCATTGAGACACAAGGTCTCATTTTCACACAATCATATTGCTTGTTAACATCTAAATGTAACCTTTTGCATGGAAAAACCCCTCAACTTAACTGATGTGTAGGTGATCTAGTATTTAGTATTGTTTAATGGAACGTATATCAGTGTATTCAAGTCAATACTTCATTTATTTAAACAAATATCTTTCTTGATTCTTTGTACAGTATGAAAAATAGAGTCTTTGTACCCGTGCTGAAGTTCACTGCTGTGAGGAGTCCAGTTCTGTCTCTCACTCTCTGGTCCAGCCTGTCTGCATCACCTAGACACCTTAAACAAACAGATATATATATATATATATATATATTGTTATGACCGGCTCGTAGGTCACAACGGAAAGATGACAAGACGTACATGAGTTTCCAAAAGCCACGTCACATTTATTGCGATTGTTCAGTATAATGTACAATATGGATAGACGAGGGGAAAGGATCGCCGTGTTACTCCTCCTGCGGCCGGCTTGGAGAGAGTCAGGACCGCCATGTGACTCCGGGCAGCTGGGCTTAATAGCACCTCGGCGCCGGCCAGGTGTCCGCGATCGTGCTGATTGGCCTCTTCAGCTCCACCCCACCGTAAGACCTGTAACACACCTTGCACACAGGCTCTGGGGCCGTCATACCCCCCCCCCCATAAAATCAGGGTCCCCATCGGAACCCTGGTACCTACACACAAACACCCCACAAAGAACATGGCGCCCACAACAACAAAGAAAAACAAACAAGTCAGTGACTAGTTCAGCTAACTATAACGCGTTACATTTTTTTTCCCCTTTTTTTTTTTTTCTTTTCTTTTTTTCTTTCCCGCCATGCTCCGGAACCTGGAAGACACCCCGACCTGGTAAACCGGTTCGCCAGCAAAATACGTGACACTCTCCTGAAGCGAATACCCCTGAGCACGACCTCTCACCTCACCACCATGAAGAACACTCTCCCTTAGACCCTCCAGCGACGCATCAGGACGCTGTTCCTCCACCAGCTCAGCGTGAGAAACCGACCAGGGAATCTCGAGACACGTCACCCCATGCTGCGGTGAGGCCTCATCGATTTCAGCTGTGCTCCTGACCTCTGTCTGCCCACGTTTCATTCCCCGTGTCACAGTGCATGCTTTAAACACGTCAGGGTACTCAGTTTCGCTCTTGTCTGGCTTAATAACCTGGGGCACTGGCGCCATAATAGCTGGAGGTGCCCCATCAGCCCACACACGACTACCTGCAATGTCGTTACCCAGTATCATCGTGACCCCATCTATGGGCAGAGCGGGCCGCACGCCAACCGCTACTTCACCTTGAAACAGATCCGAACACAGCATCATTTTATGGAGAGGCACCCGAAGAACATTTAATCCGATTCCAAGTGTCGGAATGAACAACCCCATGTATGTGTCCTCTGAAAATGGTAAGGCAGATGCCAAAATGAACGAATCAAATGATCCCGTGTCTCGTAATATTTTTACCCGCACCTTCTCATTGTTCCCCACCAGATAAACAAACCCCTCAGTCATGAAAGGCAAATAAGACTGTCGTTCTGGGCTAGACTCCTGTGGTTTCAACTCACCGTCTAAACGCCCAGTCACCTGCTCAGCGAAAGGTGCCACGAACATTGCTGGCCTGGGACTACCACTAGTCCCTTCCTGCTCAGCTTTAGCCCTAAATGCATTGCAGTCTTTTCTCCAGTGCCCTCGCTCATGACAGTAATGACACACATTGTCAGGCTTACGTGCACCACGTACATACCCACTGACCTGCCCAGCAGGTCTCACTGGACGACCAGACCACGCTCCCACACCCAAGGAATTTCCATCGTGACTGCCTTGTACGGCAGCACCTCCACCAACGTGTGTCAAAACATAGTCATCTGCTAATGCAGCAGCTTCAGCAGCTGTCCTGACTGCGTGCTCACTGATATACACCGCAATGTGCTCCGGTACAGAATTTTTGAATTGCTCCAAAATAACGAGATCCCTCAACGCCCCGTGAGAATCAACGTCAGTTGCCGCACACCAGCGATCGAAATGGGTGGAAATATCCCGAGCAAACTCAAGGTGAGATTTATCACCTCTCTTCCAATTCCTAAACCGCTGACGATAAGCTTCAGGCACCAGCTCGTAAGCCCTGAGAACGGCAGATTTAACTAAATCATAGTGCAAATAGTCACTGACACTTAAAGATGAATAAGCCTCCTGAGCCCACCCCGTTAACACACACTGTAACAATAACACGCGAGTGGCCTCAGACCACCCCCTTACACCTGCGAGACGTTCAAACATTGAAAACATTTTTTCCGGATCCTTCTCATTAAACCTGGGAACCAACTTCAAATCATTTAAGTCATCCACTGACCTCCCTGGGGCCCCGCTTTGACTAGCTGAATAATCAGGAAACAGGACATCAGCCGCTACTTTGCCCTCTCTAATTAATTCCAGTTTCTCCCTCTGAAACTCCAACTTAGCCTGCTCAGTTTCCTGCCTCAATTTCTCCAAGGACACCGCTCTTTCCAGCTCAATGCCCTGTCGCATCTTCTCCACGGCCAACTCCTTTTCCGCGTAATCTGAGTAACTCCTTCTGTTGCTCGAAACTCAAAACTGCACTTTGACCCACCATTTATTTTGTGCGTATCAAACACTTTACTTTTCAACAAACAAGCCCTCAAATTCGCTTTTCACCGACTCTTTCACTCTTTTATCGCCAACTTCAAACCCATAATACTGAGCTACGTTCACCAATTGATCCTTGGTGCACTGATCCAAGAAACCTTCAGAAGGTGCAGCCACAAACGCCCCCACAACATCCTCCATATCTACCCAATAATAGCTATTTACACAGAGGAAATGCAATTTTCTTAGCCCACCTGTGCACACAGTAGGAATGAGCAGCCCCGCTAGCTGACTTCCTAACCACAAACTTACTACATAACTCCCCCCCTAGTCTTCATGAGGCGTAGCGGTGGGTACTTATGCACTTAAAGCCCGCTGGACCGAGAGAGGCGACCAGATAATCGGCAACCCCCCTGAACCACGGAAGTGCTCTCGAGCAAGTTTAGGGAAAAGGGAAAGTGAAGCTCTAACCGCCGTACCTCAACACTATTTAAAGCCCCCCCCAGACGAAACCCAAAAGGGAAACGCCTCTTGAACCTACCAGGGGAAACACTCCTACAGGTATTGTATATACAGGCGGGACCACTACCTCCTATTTTTCAGCGAATATTTAAGAGAACAGATCACTGCTATCGGACAAAAACACACTCTCATCAAATCCCACAAACCTGGGGACCATACGCGTTCCAAAATAAGCATAGGCACCAGTAGAGTGCATCCACAACACCATATAAGGCCACATACATCACTGTCCTCAGAGGGAATCCCCTCAAAAACTCAGGCTACCAAACTAGCCACGAACACAGGCTAATTCAGGCACAGCTAACGCCAAAACAATCCAACCAACTCCCGGTTCATACTCACGATAGACGAGCTCCCAGTTGTTATGACCGGCTCGTAGGCCACACGGAAAGATGACAAGACGTACACAAGTTTTCAAAAGCCACGGCACATTTATTGCGATTGTTCAGTATAATGTACAATATGGATAGACGAGGGGAGAGGATCGCCGTGTTACTCCTCCTGCGGCTGGCTTGGAGAGTCAGGGCCGCCATGTGACTCCGAGCAGCTGGGCTTAATAGCACCTCGGCGCCGGCCAGGTGTCCACGATCGCGCTGATTGGCCTCTTTCAGCTCCACCCCACCGTAAGACCTGTAACACACCTTGCACACAGGCTCTGGGGCCGTCACAATATGTAAAGTACCATGTGTACAAACAATATAACTGATTATCTTCTGTTGAACATGTTGGATTGTGTATTGTCCGAGTCAGGGTCCTTTTTATTTTACTGTAACTTTGGAAGTTGTGTTACCAATGCTTACTGTTTATTTGATACCAAGCCTTAACATTCATTACGTAGCTGATTCAAATCATAAACACATCAATAAGTACTCGAATTTCACTTACTGCAAAAACCGCATTCATGCACCATCTGTTTCAACCGCAGAGCGAGTCACAATAGTCTGATATATAAGCATGAAGAACAAACAACCACGGCCGGCTACAAGTTGTGTTCCCTGGATGAACTGAGCAGGCAGAGTCCCTGTAGCTAGCTTCACGGAGCAGGTAGCAGAGAGACAAGAAGCTAGCAGCAGTAGTCACTTGACAGAGCTGTCACTCAATGTGACCACGCCCTAATATATGCATAACTTTAAGGCTTAATATTAATTAAACAGATGAGTTGAGAAAAAATTGACCCCCCACACAGTAGTCATGACGGGGAAATCTAACTATACAGAGAATATGGTTTTTTTGAACCACGATGTAAACATGTTTATTTCTGCTGTAAAGTTGGGCATTTTAACATGGGGGTCTATGGAAATTGCTCCCTTCTGCAGCCTGCTCCTATTGGCCACTAGATGAACTGCAGTGTGTGGCACTTCCGTATTGGCGTCCCGGCTCTTCCCCAGAGTTTGCCGCTTGGTTCAAACATGCTGTTGACACGTAAAGCAGTGGCAACTATGCCACCATTTCAGCTGACTTTTTCTCAGAAATACTGTCACATAACATCCATATATTTCAGTGCTAGGTTGATGCTTAGCTAAGCTAACTATGAAACACTTTAACTGACAGGACTCAGGATCAACTGTGTACTGTAAGGTAGCTTCTAGCTTCATGTCGAACAGTAAGTCAACATTTCCCAGAGAGCTTTTCTTTGAAATCACCAGGGTAACGCTAAAAACATTACATTTAGATTGTATGACAAAGTGTTTATTTAATATATCTGGCTAGCTATAGCTACTTGCTAATGGTTTAGCTTACCGATTCAAAGTAACGTCAACGTAGCTGTAATTTATGCTTTGCTTACATGTTCACATAACTTGGAAGTTTACTGACATTTACATACCTTGGGGGGGGGTGCTAGTGGATCGCCGGAGCTGTATTAGATTAACATTAACATGCTTATTGTAGTTGTAAGTGCACTGCCTTGCGGCCTGTAGCACCATCCTTGATGGAGCATATGTGTGGGCTGGACCTGTATTTTACAGGAAAGGAGTGAGCAGAGGGTTGAGTTGTCGATTCTTGTTCAGTTTTCTATGACTATCTGCCTCACCCTCTCTGACTTTCAGTTGCACGCTACTAAAGAGACGCGCTACCATGAAAACCAAACAATGGTCTAGCTGTATTAAAGTCTGAGTGGAAACAGTCCTGAGTAAATCTGATTTTGTCAGAAATCGGGAGAAATGCGGGAGAAATATGACCCCGGGAGGAAACCGGGAGAGGGCAGTGAAATCGGGAGTCTCCCGCGAAAATCGGAAGGGTTGGCAAGTATGGTTCCGACCCTGCCTGTCCCTGACCTGCCTGTTCCCTGATCCTGCCTGTGCTTGGACTATCCTGCCTTGCCTGCTGTCTGACCCTGCCTGTACCTATGTTGACCGCCTCGCCTGCTCCCTGACCCTCTGCCCGGCCCTGACTCACCTTCTGCCTGCTGTCCTCTGGTTCATTTGCCTGCACATCATCCGGCTGTTACTGTTCTGATGGTATCCCTATGCTCTGGTATTATTACCAATAAAGTACATTACCAATACTCCTTGGTTTCTCGAGTGCTGCATTTGAGTCCTTCATAAGATTGTGACAGTCACATTAATAGTAGGTTGCAGTAAAATTCCGCTGCAGGCGTTTACAAAAGTATACTGGGATCAAGGTCCCCTTCTTTATTATATTGCCCATTCATTGCAAAACATAAATTAACCAACATTTACGACTTGATAGGTGCCAATATATCAATAAAATAATATATTTGTTTCAGGAGTCATATACCAAAACTGAAAGCCGTTAGATCTAATCAAGATTGGCAACGGCCTTACCTCACCTCCTCTTAGACAGTTTATTAACATACGCACAACTGCAACTAGGGTAACAAGAGAGGAGATTGCATTATTCCATTCAGAAAAAGTTCTTTCAGTCAGTCTTCATTTTCTGTTAAAGCTGCTCAGCAATGGAACTCAATCCCACCTCCAATCAGAGACCAGACCACATTCACTTTATTTAAATCCCAACTCAAAACCTGGTTAGTGAGGAATCAGCTCTGCCAACACTGACCCAATCTTCTGCTCCTTACAATCCACCGCCTGTGTTTTAACATGTTCTTTTGTTTTGTTTTATTTGTTTTGTTTTAATGTTCTGTATTTCAAATAGTTTTATTTAAGTATCCCAGTAATGACTGTTGCATGTTTTAAATGTATTGTATTTACTTGTTTAAAATTAAATGTGTTTTAGGTTGACTTTTAAAATCTGTCCAGGGACTACAGATGAAAAATAGCCTCTTGGCTAACTCTGGCACGTTTACAGAAATGTTACTTAATGTGCACTGTCCCTGTTAAATAAATGAATAAATAAAAAAAATAACAGTATAAACTTTATATCAGTCTACTACTGAAACTGTCAGAAATTATTTAATATTTAGTTTGAACAGTCGCTCAGCTTTAGAGTGGAAAATAAGTATCCAATTTATGATCACTTTAAAACCAACTCCTACATAGGGAAAGCGCTCTGTTTAATATGAATTGGGGTATATTTTAAGAGACAAATCTTTCATGCGTGCGGATACAAAAATAGGTCACTATCAATTTTTCACTTTGTTTACTGTTACTTTGTCTGCATTATGTCTTGCTGAGATAAAGCTTGATGTGTGTCTTTATTTTTCTGCTTGACATCAAATATTGTCATAACAATGTAATATGAGTGTAATATGGCTGTTATATAGGTGTAATTATACCATTTGTACTCTAGTCTTTATTCGATCATTTCAACAGATACATTTGTTTTGAGGCATTACAAAGAAATAATACAAATAAACAGATAAAAAGGTGTTTGATATGGTTGGGATAACAATGTAATATAGGAGTTATAAGTGTGAAGTGCGGGTAAACGAGTGTTGTAACAGTGTAAAATGTATGCAATATGGGTGTAATATAGGTGTAACTATACAATTTGTATTCTACTCTTTATTTCAACATTCCGACAGATATATTTTTGTTTTTAGACCTATGCTAAAAAAACTATAATAAGGATGCTTGGAAAAAAAGGTGTAATATGGTTGTGAAAATGTTTTAATATGGCGATAATAACCATAAGAATGGTTGAACAATGGGTGCAATAACAGTGTAATGGGTGTTATTATACAACTTTTATTCTGCTCTTTACTCTGCTTTCCATGCCTCGTGTTTTACTAGCTGAGGTATTGGTTAAGCATAAGGGCCTTTTGAGATTCATATATTACATTACTTACTTTGTATCCTGCTGCTGGATTTCTGAACCTACACTTATATGTCAATGTGTGGTTATAAGTTGATTTTAGGGGTCGACCGATTATCGAGGCCTTTTTTGAATCAAATTGCCGATACAATTTTGGCTCTGATGCGGCCGTTTCCCTGGCTGCACTCACCACTGTTCACGAGCAATGTCCCGCCCACAGCGCTATCTGATAGGCTATTACTGAAGTGTCAATCAACACTGAAGATTTTCCGGGCTGCAGCCAGCCAGAGAGGCGGGACCTTCTCAGATTACAGGCAGACACAGACAGTAGTGATGGGAATTCCGGCTCTTCTTGGTGAGCCGGATCATTTGGCTCGGCTCACCAAGAAGAGCCGGCTCTTTCGGCTCCCAAACGGCTCTTCAGTTTACCACATATTATACCTTTTATAATTAAATCAAATGTAGCCCTGTTTTGACTAATGAATGATTTATATGTGTACACATATATCATTTAAATTATTCAATACATCCTTTGTACTGAAGTATTCAAAAGTAAAAATGACATGTGTAATATAAATGATTTGCTGTGGCCAAATGTTTTCATTGCATTTACAGACCCTTGTAACTCTGATACCACCCAATGAATGCACTGACTTGCTTGTAGAACCACACTACACAAAACAGATAGCAACACCTATAACTTAAGCATAGACATTTAAAAAAAGGGGCTACTGTATGGACATTTTAAAATTATATTTAAAGAAAAGGCCCTAACAAAACAGCAGGGCTCTATTTCAGTAACTATTAACTATAGAAAAAAAGACAGCAGCAGCTTACATCAAATCTTTGCTGAGCCTAAGGATAATCATAAATAAATAACATAGTGAAAATAAATATATTGCAATGCTCAAAACAGCAGCATCCAACAGTCTCTAATCATAAAAAAATATAATACAAAT